CAACAGCCAATTATTGCACAACTATATTCTACCCACCTCAAGACTCCGCTCCAATATAGAAGCATCAAGAAATATGGACCAATAGGCTTTCTACAAACACTTCATTTTTCCTTGTTTCGTGTTCTGTCTTGTGTTGATGAAATTAATACCCTATTAATACTCTTGTTCTGTCTTGTGTTGATGAAATTAATACCCTATTAATACCACATCTTGTTCTGTCTTGTGTTAATGCCACATCACCCCTTCCACCTCACTCAAATGTAGATATAAAATCGGAGATGCGTAAGTTCTATTCAGTTGTGTATTTGTGAACTAAAGTCTTTGAAAATGTAATAAGTTTTACGAAACGCGCTCGTGTCGCGTCAGACTAGAAATATATATATATATATATATATATATATATATATATATATATATATATATATATATATATATATATTATATATATTTATATATATATATTCTCATTCAAAATTACGAGGTCATAAAATATTTTATTCAGAACGTTTATCAAATTTGTATCTAAATCCATTGTATGAGAAACATTCAACATTCAATCCTATTGTACCTCATTACACACAGAAATCATAATAGCGTGATGAATCAAATGAACAAATCAACAAGAACCGCGATGAGGATTCGAACCTACGTCCGAGAGGATCCCAGACGCTGCCTTAATCGACTATGCTACGACATGGCAAATGAATTGCAACCGGGAGTTCAACTGACCTCACACGGGTCCTGAAATCCAATTGTACCTCTTTAGGCATTGCAGAGAATGTTACTATTCACTGTCCAGAGTTAAATGGTCATATCTTCCGTCGCCAAAGACTTTCTTGAGGCATGAAATGGCTTGACGTTGTTCTCCAGTGAGCCTGATGATGGAAGACAATGCTGAAGTGGTTGGGCACTATATTCCCAAGGCTGCCCCCCATTGCAACCAACACGGATTATTACAATCAATACGGATCATTACAATCAATACTGATTATTACAATCAATACGGATCATTACAATCAATACTGATTATTACAATCAATACGGATCATTACAATTAATACTGATTATTACAATCAATACGGATCATTACAATCAATACTGATTATTACAATCAATACGGATCATTACAATTAATATTGATTATTACAATCAATACGGATCATTACAATCAATACTGATTATTATAATCAATACGGATCATTACAATCAGTACTGATTATTACAATCAATACGGATCATTACAATCAGTACTGATTATTACAATCAATACGGATCATTACAATCAATACTAATTATTACAATCAATACGGGTCATTACAATCAATACTGATTATCACAATAAATACGGATCATTACAATCAAAACTGATTATTACAACCAAAACGGATTATTACAATCAGTACTGATTATTACAATCAATACACACAACAAAAAACACTGTAGTATTGCTAATCATTACTGATTATTATTAATCAGTAATATTATTTTTTTACTGATTAATGATTATTAATAATCATTGATCTTCAACTCTTTTAGAGAACACTGTTTGAATTGTAGTATTTCTGATTTAGGATATACCGACGTAGGACTTAAAATGATGCTTAAAAATGATTAAATTAATCCTTAAGTAGGATGCTTAAAAAGATCAATTGATCCATGCCAGGCAGCTTGTTGATATCCTATCATATATGATGATATCATCATATATGATGATTTTTCAGGGAAAAGCGCCAAGCCATTACGACTATATAGCACTTGGAAGGGGTTAGGATAAGGATTTGGGCTGGGACGGGGGAAAGGAATGGTGCCCAACCACTTGGACGGTCGGGGGATTGAACGCCAACCAGCATGAAGCGAGTCCGCTGCTCTACCGTCCAGCCCAAGTGGTTGGTGACTATATCCACCCAAACTCATTTCTATATATGTGAAACCTACCCTTGACCCCAATGTCTATTACGTTACCTCAGGGATCTATTCGATAGATCAGCAACTATAGTCCCAGACCAGCATATACCTCAAGTCTTTCATGACTCTATACTTGTTCCCCTTTATCATGGAGGCCTGACGGCTGAGTGGACAGCGCTCGGGATTCATAGTTCTAATGTTCCGGGTTCAATCCCCGGCGGAGGCGGAAACAAATGGGCAGAGTTTCTTTCACCCTGATGGCCCTGTTAACTAGCAGTAAATAGGTACCTGGGAGTTAGACAGCTGCTACGGGCTGCTTCCTTGGGGGTGTGTAACAAAAAGGAGGCCTGGTCGAGGACCGGGCCGCGGGGACGCTAAAGCCTCGAAATCATCTCAAGATAACCTCAAGATAGATCCTTTTAGCACCTTTTTAATACCTTATCTTTTATTTGTATATTTTGATCATATCGCCCTATACTCTTCACATTTCTAAAAATGCAAACTATAGTTTTTCTTAATCTCTGTTCTTAAGGAAGGTGTCAAATCCCCGGGATTACAAATTGTCATTCGTCTTCGAACAGTTTCTAAATAGTTTATATCCATTGGGGCCAGATTCACGAAGCAGTTACGCAAGTACTTACGAACGTGTACAACTTTCTACAATCTTTGACGGCTTTGATTACATTTATTAAACAGTTTACAAGCATGAAAACTTGCCCATCAACTGTTGTTATTGTTATAAACAGCCTCCTGGTGCTTCGGAGCTCACTAACTGTTTAATAATTGTAAACAAAGTTGCCAAAGATTGAGAAAAGATGTACAGGTTCGTAAGTGCTTGCGTAACTGGTTCGTGAATCTGGCCCCAGGTTCGTAAGTACTTGCATAAATGCTTCGTGAATCTGGCCCCAGGTTCGTAAGTACTTGCATAAATTCTTCGTGAATCTGGCCCCTGGTGGCCGATTTAAACTGCATAATATCACTGCGTCTTAACAAGGTGGAGGAGCAGCCTGATAGCTTCCGTTACTTGTATGTCGGTCCTGCGTAGCCTACCAGGCTTGGTGCCTTGTTTTGATAATTACTTACGTTACTTGTCTTGTTACTAAACAATATTACTAATCATGTCGGGAGCCGGTCGGCCGAGCGGACAGCACGCTGGGCTTGTGATCCTGTGGTCCTGGGTTCGATCCCAGGCGCCGGCGAGAAACAATGGGCAGAGTTTCTTTCACCCTATGCCCCTGTTACCTAGCAGTAAATAGGTACCTGGGTGTTAGTCAGCTGTCACGGGCTGCTTCCTGGGGGTGGAGGCCTGGTCGAGGACCGGGCCGCGGGGACACTAAAGCCCCGAAATCATCTCAAGATAAGATGTCTTAATTTAAACATTTATTAATATGACTGAGGATTGATTACCCATCATTAACACAGTCACCTAGGCAGTTGATTCTCGCGGCGGCAGAACTGAGACGTTTAAGCACGCGTCCTTTTCACCTGATGCCTCTGCTCACCTGGCAGCTATTAGCAGGTAGTCAGGGATTAGACATGTGTCGTGGTGTGCATCCTCGAGAAGGTCAGTAGTTGACCTGTAGGGTGACGTCGATAAGTCTAATAGTCTTCCTGGTCCCAGTTAATGGGAAGTGCCGGCGATCTAACGAAGTAGTTAACGCGTGTCGTTAAGTAAGAGGAGAAGCCCTTAGGTAATCCAAATATTAAGGCGTGACTCGTCCTGCATTTAAGCAAAGTTGTCTTTAATTGTTGAACAAAACATCTTCACTGTCCTTTGAAACAGGCTTTGCAATGAGCCCTCTTGCCTTGCAAGTGCTGCAAGTGGCTGCCATTTCAATGCACACACTATTGCTAACACTTAAACAAATTTACAGTGTTTAAAAAAAAAGCCATAAAGGCACCAGAGAATTTTTACATTTTCTTGAATGCTGGCATTATAAGACCATTACTTGCAGGGCTCCGACAGAATTGTCCTGAGGTTAACGTTTGGGTAAAGTGAGCACCCGGGCTTTCTAGTGGGTAGACCCCATCACCAGGGGGTAGACCCCATCACCAGGGGGGGGGGGGAGACCCCATTACCAGGGGGGGTGTAGACCCCATTACCAGGGGGGGAAATGATATTCGACCCATCGACCAGCAAAGAATTATTGCAATGCCCAGCTTTAGATCAGGATCGACCAGTGATCGTTACCGAGAGGCGAACTGGCTCATTACCCCTCCTGTTGCCCTAATACACAACACGTGCACACACAACACGCTAAAACACACACACATATATATATATATATATATATATATATATATATATATATATATATATATATATATATATATATATATATATATATATATATATATATATATATATATATATATATATATATATATGTCGTACCTAGTAGCCAGAACTCACTTTTTGGCCTACTATTCAAGGCCCGATTTGCCTAATAAGCCAAGTTTTCCTGAATTAATATATTTTTTCTAATTTTTTTCTCATGAAATGATAAAGCTACCCATTTCATTATGTATGAGGTCAATTTTTTTTTATTGGAGTTAAAATTAACGTAGATTTATGACCGAACCTAACCAACCCTACCTAACCTAACCTAACCTATCTTTATAGGTTAGGTTTGGTTAGGTAGCCGAAAAAGTTAGGTTAGGTTAGGTTAGGTAGGTTAGGTAGTCGAAAAACAATTAATTCATGAAAACTTGGCTTATTAGGCAAATCGGGCCTTGCATAGTAGGCTGAGAAGTGCGTTCTGGCTACTAGGTACGACATGTATATATATATATATATATATATATATATATATATATATATATATATATATATATATATATATATATATATATATATATATATATATATATTCAAGTATATACATCCACCTTCAAATTACATACATCTGCAAACCCGCGCGTTTACACACACACACACACACACACACACACACACACACACACACACACACACACACACACACACACACACACACACACACACCCGCGTTAGTATGCATGCACGATAAGAAATTGAAATTAGTTACCAATAGCCAGGACTGGGAGGCACGTTTATCCCAGTGTAACACCCTCAGTTGGCACGCTGCCAGACACCTCCTCTACAGCAAGAGGAGAGACCTCCTCCACAGCAAGAGGAGAGACCTCCTCCACAGCAAGAGGAGAGACCTCCTCCACAGCAAAAGGAGAGACCTCCTCCACAGCAAAAGGAGAGACCTCCTCCACAGCAAGAGGAGAGACCTCCTCCACAGCAAGAGGAGACACCTCCTCCACAGCAAGAGGAGACACCTCCTCCACAGCTAGAGAGAGACCTCCTCCACAGCAAGAGGAGAGACCTCCTCCACAGCAAGAGGAGAGACCTCCTCCACAGCAAGAGGAGACACCTCCTCCACAGCAAGACAGGGAAGAGAGAGAGAGACCTTATCTATCCTCTTCACTAAACAGCCAGCTATAATTAGCTTCAAGTTCAGTAAACACACTGAACCTAACCACCTTCCTTCTTCGACTCTAACTGCCTTGTTACCTTAGTACCCAAACAAGTCTGCAAGTCCAGAATTACGGTTCATCAAATATGCCTGTCTTCAATCATTCTGGAGGCTTCGTTTGCACTTATGAAACTGTTTCTTATAAACTTCGAACGACTCAATTGCTCTACCGGGTGTCATCCTGGATTGCTTAGTTAATTAGCGATATTGCTGGCCATTCCAGATCGCTGGAGAAGTGGTTATGGTGCTCTCTATGCCAGGGCGTGGTCCCCGGCAACGGAGGTTCGATCCTGGCCGGGTCATGAAGTTATTAGATATATATATCATAAAATATTATTCTGCAATAATTATAATATTGTTATATATTGGAAATGCTTTAAAGTCAAAATGCCAACACGGAAACAGTGTAAATGTCAATTGATTATGGAAACGATAATTAACAATAATTTAGATATTTGACAAATCGTTATAAATAATTAAGTAAAATAACTGAAAAATTAGTTTTTGACGATGAAAAAAAACGAATCATAGATTGAATGAAAAAGAAAAAATCTTAAATATTAAAGTAGAAAAAGAACAAATGCTGCAACTTGGTGTGTGGAAGTAATCGCGAGGAAGAATTGTTGCAATACTGCAAGCTGCAATTGGACGTCTGTGGGGATATATATGTTGGGGAAGACCTCCATTGAAATGTTCTGATTAGACGTCCCTGAAGGGCAGACAGCATGTAGGAAGTTGTCGTTTATATATTAGACGTCCCTGAAGGGCAGAACACCATGTAGGAGGTTGTCGTTTATATATTAGACGTCCCTGAAGGGCAGAACACTAGGTAGGAGGTTGTTGTTTATATATTAGACGTTCCTGAAGGGCAGAACACTATGTAGGAGGTCGTCGTTTATATATTAGACGTCTCTGAAGGGCAGACAGCATGTAGGAAGTTGTCGTTTATATATTAGACGTTCCTGAAGGGCAGAACACCATGTAGGAGGTCGTCGTTTATATATTAGACGTCCCTGAAGGGCAGAACACCATGTAGGAAGTTGTCGTTTATATATTAGACGTTCCTGAAGGGCAGAACACCATGTAGGAGGTTGTCGTTTATATATTAGACGTCCCTGAAGGGCAGAACACCATGTAGGAGGTCGTCGTTTATATATTAGACGTCCCTGAAGGGCAGAACACTAGGTAGGAGGTTGTTGTTTATATATTAGACGTCCCTGAAGGGCAGAACACCATGTAGGAGGTCGTCGTTTATATATTAGACGTCCCTGAAGGGCAGAACACCATGTAGGAGGTCGTCGTTTATATATTAGACGTCCCTGAAGGGCAGAGAACATGTAGAAAGTTGTCGTTTATATATCACATTTGAACATATTTACGAAATTTTGTCATAAAATGTTTGATTATTTATTTTCAGACTCAATAGGTTAAGTAGGATGCCTGGGTTTGGTCGTTTGTGGTTAGGGAAGTGATGAGAACAGAGAGGCTGATTAACTTCCTGTTTAGGAAGTCATGAACTTCAAATCCTATTTATTACAGAAGCATTTGGGCAACTTTTCCTTATATCTAACGCCTGTGTTTACCATAGCAGCATATATACCCGCCAAACACACACCGAAACTACGACGTTGGTACAACGTTCGAAGAAGTTTTAACACCTCCTAACCAGTTATAACAACCAATATAGCAAGTTGTAACAACGTTCTAATACGTCATAAACACGTTAAGCCAAGATGTAACAACTTTATTACAAGTTGTAACAAGCGAAAAATAGGGACAGTTTCGGTCTGTGTTTCCAGGGTAGGGACTTGAGAGTTAGGCAACTGGTGTAGTCCTGTAGAAAGTCATCAGGTCCAGTGGAAACCATGATCAGTGTAACACGCTACCTGCTCCGGCCATGAGGAAATCACGTCACGTGTTCCAGCTGCTACTTTTCTCGCTCGGCCTCGTCGTGTTTCGGGGCGCCGCTCTCCTACGAGGTGTCGTTCCGGTAAGTGCTCCTTAAAATACTCGCGAGAGACGTCTCCTTAACAGATTTTCATCTTCAGATCTTACTGCTTAGATTCGTGACTTACCGAGAATTATCTCATATTACTTAATAATTATAAAAATATTACTTAAAATATAAAATATTTCTTATATTATATTGTTTTAAAATATTATAAAACTACTCATATACAATGAAAACTGAATTTAATGGACTTACAGTGGCGAACAAAATACTTTTTTTTACGTGAAAAAGAAGAGTGGACGTTATATGATAAGCGCCACAGGGAAGACAAATGGCTTCATCTCGGCTCCTAAAAGCGGCCTTAAACATTCTCTAAACCTTAATAAAAGACTTGAGCATTTGGGCACTGCCCTTCCCCACGCCTCTCTCTCCCGACCAAACGGCAATTTATGCAACCATTTTAAAATTAGCATAAATATAGTCCTCTTAGCATATATAATTTCGGACAATTTTGGTATATAACAAAAAAATTGCCAATTTTCCTCGTGTTTTTTAAGAGTTTGTTTTAATATAAAAGAGTTTTTTACTCTTGGTCTTTTGCGTTACTACTGGTTCTTTAAGGTTCATGTTTGCTTGTTTCAGTGTTTATTAATTTTAGCGGAATATAATAGTTGAATAGCTTAAAGGTCAGTCAGATAAAAGAGTCGCCTCTTAGGGTGAAGAAGAGCGCTTCGAAGAGCACTTCAAAGAGCGCTCTCTGCTCATCCCGTGGTAAAGTGCCCGACTCGTGGCCACCATTCTCTGCACTTTGGCAAAGTGTGTGGTGCCTGGAGACCATACACTCTCGGCAAAGTGTGTGGTGCTTGGAGACCATACACTCTCGGCAAAGTGTGTGCCGCTTGGAGACCACACACTCTTGGCAAAGTGTGTGGTGCTTGGAGACCACACACTCTTGGCAAAGTGTGTGGTGCTTGGAGACCACACACTCTTGGCAAAGTGTGTGGTGCCTGGAGACCACACACTCTCGGCAAAGTGTGTGCCGCTTGGAGACCATACACTCTTGACAAAGTGTGTGGCGCCTGGAGACCATACACTCTTGGCAAAGTGTGTGGTGCTTGGAGACCATACATTCTTGGCAAAGTGTGGCACCTGGAGACCATACACTCTTGCAAAGTGCATAGTGCCTGGAGACCATACACTCTTGGCAAAGTGTGTGGTGCCTGGAGGCCACTTCATACCGAAGGAAATTGATTATCTTTGTCCCGACGCAGCATGAGGGTCCTCAAGTTCAAGTGTACCTCCTCTTGATGCAGTGGCTGTGAGTAGGTGAAACACTGACTACGAGCAATCATTTTTTTTTAATATAGTGATTGCTTGTAGTCCGTGTTGTTTTGAGTTACCTCGGGATCTGATTGCTCATACTCCGGGTCATTTTTGGTGCCTTAGCGTCTGATTGCTCGTAGTCCTGATTGCTGCAGTCCTGGACCTCGTAGTCCAGCGTCTGATTGCTTTTTTGTTATCTCGGCTACTGATTGCTCGTTATGGCGTTATGGCATATATGTACTGTCTAATATATGGCATTACGGTCTAATATATGGCATTACGGTATATATGTATTGTCCAATATATGGTGTTACGGTATATATGTACTGTCCAATATATGCCGTTATGGCATATATGTACTGTCTAATATATGGCATCACAGTGTATATGTATTGTCCAATATATGGTGTTACGGTATATATGTACTGTCCAATATATGCCGTTATGGCATATATATGTACTGTCTAATATATGGCATCACAGTGTATATGTATTGTCCAATATATGGTGTTACGGTATATATGTACTGTCCAATATATGATTTTACGGTATATATATGTACCGTCCTATATATGGCGTTATAGCATATATATATGTACCGTTCATTGTGGCGTTATGTCTGCGGCGCTTGACGTCACAGGTGGACCCAATTACGTCTTCGGGATCAAACTAGTCATTAGCACCAAGGTGTATGTATCATTACGTCAGAGACGTGTTTAACGACGCAGGCGACCCAACGAGGTCATTTATCAACTTGTATCTTGCTTATTGTCCCCTTCACAGGAAAATAAAAGTGAAAAATACTGAGTGATCGTCTGCCTCTGCCAAGAGATTATATTGACTCCAATTAGAGCGCGTTCCTCACGTGATCAATTCAAATATATTGTGCAATAATCCGAGGACCTTATGGGGTCATTAAGAGCATGAGGAGTAATACATGCTATTAATATCCCGACTTTGACATTCTATACTTATTAATAACAATTTAAATACTATTGTCGTAAAGTGACCGTATCATCATTTTTTTGAGGAAAACAAAAATGCAGATTTGGATACTTAGCAAATTTTACTACTAACATGTTTCTGGAAACCTGAATATATATAACTCAAACTTGTTAATATAGGAACCACTCCTATATAACAACTTTGTCCTCCTCCTCCTCCACTGTCATCAGATCATCTTTCCTGAAGCTACATCTGAGGAAATAGGGATGAATGGAGTCGCCTGTAATCTCCACCCTCATCTTACTATTCACTTCATGTGGCTCCTTCAATAGATCCCTTGCCATCATTTCACGATACACATCAGTTTGGGTCAGGGGTGTCCCGTCCTCTCCGGTCTTCATTTCATGCATCTCCCGCGAATCAATGGAGGTAATCTTCACTGACCTCTGCTTAGATCTCTCACGATAATGGAAACTTAAGATGAAAACAGCAGCTTAAATCATAGAAATTAAGGAGGTTAATTCAACCATAAAACGATGGTAACTATTTTGTTTTCATTGAATTCACCACTTAAAATAAGTTACAATATTTTTTTTCAGGTGTCCAGAAACATGTTATTAGTAAAATTTGTTAAGTATCCAAATCTGCATTTTTGTTTTCCTCAAAAAAATTATGATACGGTCACTTTACGACAATAGTATACAAATTGTTATTAATAAGTATACAATGTCAAAGTCGGGATATTAATAGCATGTATTACTCATCATGCTCTTAATGACCTCATAAGGTTACCTTACCTTGAGGTTACCTTGAGGTGCTTCCGGGGCTTAGCGTCCCCGCGGCCCGGTCGTCGACCAGGCCTCCTGGTCGACGGTTTATTGTCCTCGGATTATTGCACAATATATTTGAATTGATCACGTGACCGCCAACTCGAGTACGGAATATAAAGGAAGGGAACTATCAGATAAAAGCACCAAGCCATTACGATTATATAGCACTGGGAAGGGATCAGGATAAGGACTTGGGACAGGACAGGGGAAAGGAATGGTGCCACACCACCTGG